CAGAACGAAATGCAAACTACGTCGAAAACAGGTATCTGGTGAGCTTGGCACAAATTAAATGTACCTGCAGTCCTTAGCTGACGGCTAGAAAAAGTAGCGCTTGCTACAGATCAGAATTGAACTGCACGATTAGGCTGGTTTAAAACAATATCCCAATAGACGCTATCACGTAAAATGTTACTCAGAGGTAATGCAAAAAAATGGCCCCCGGGGAAGCCGACCTGACGCAGTGAATAGTGCGCCTGTCTGCATCCGAGAGGTCGGTGTTCAGTTCCCTGGCGCCCCATATTTCCGTCAAAAACAGGCACGAAATTGCAAGTGAAGACGAACAGGCGATGAAGTCTAGAACCTGAGTAGACCTAGGGGGAACGGAAAATCAGGGAGCGAACGGAAGGGAAGCCGAATGGAGCTATAATAACGTGCTACTCATAAGTAGTCAAAACAAATGAGGAAAATAGCTGTCAAAAGCAGTCGATTCGCGGGATGAATAGACACTCGTTGTGGTGTGGAAATCCATGTAGAGATCCGCACATTAACTTGGAATCCTCAGTGATTGACCTGTAAGAATGGATGAGCGAAGTTTCATTCCACTTATAGTCTGGACAAAACTCAAAACCGCAGCGTGTGTTGGTGTTCTGAAGAGACGTCGGTGAATCGTCCCTTAGCTGGTGGGCTGCTGGGTCGTCTTTCAACCAATATCGGCCTCACTTTAGGTAGACTATATCTAGGATATCTTATAAAATCCACTTCGGTCCCATGATATTTGCTCGATCTTCAGTCTGTGGGTGATCGATCTTCAGTCTGTGGGCATTTTGTGATATGGCTTTTGAAATCTGTCGGACGAAACCGAATCCAAACTCGGACAGAGACAAGGGAATTTGGTACATCACAGGGCCTTTGTGATGTTAACCTAATGTAACTTTCTCAGCGGTGTCAGTACATAAATCCACTAGTAAAACTTTCTATCTGGTAACCTTGGTCAGTCTGATATCTTCAGGAAACGTTCAGAAAACGTTTTTTTTGTGCTGTTCAACGCAATTCGTTAGTTCCCATGCCTATATTTACTCACATGGAGGTCCGCCTACAGAAGAATTCATGCGGTCTTTGAGGAGCTTTGGTCTTCAAAAAACGGGCTGGAAATAGCTAGTGTTTTGATGACTCATGGTTAACATACGCATGAATTTTCACGCATATCTTGATTCACTCTTAATTNCTGTCTGGGCGCGCCCTGACAGACTTTGGACCTGATTTCAATGCACATGTTGGTCAAAGTACATCACAGAAGATAGCAGAAATTTACCGGCTAACATGTGTGGCTTGCAGTAAAGACCCAGAATAATAGCCACTGTTGGGTAGCCTTCCTTTTGGAGGTGATCATCAGTTTTCATGGCAGATCTAAGAAGCACCAAAGAACTCGCTTTCCCATGAATCGAGTTTACATTGGTTGAAAGCTGTTCAATAGGTCAAACTGGAGTCTAAACCGTTTCGCGGCTTTTTGTTCTCAGTTGTCTGTAGCGTGTACAGCCACATGGATGTGCCGAAAGAATAGCACAGTCACGAATAACTGCGGTTAACTGTGATCACAACGCACTTCAGCAGAATATAATTTGAGCTGGAAACTTCAAACCCATGAAGTGTCACTGACTTTGAGCACTAAGTGGCAGTTTCGGTTGGAATCCGCCAGAACTCCAGTTTTCCGACAGTTTAATGCATTGCTGAGCTGGATCCCTAGGTTCCATCATAATGCGTTTGGCCCATTATGTAAGTTTTGCTTAGTTGTTAAATATATTCAAAGTGTTACATTGAATGAAATCCAAACTGTTGAAGCAATCAATGTAACGAAACATCCGCAGGCTGGAGCCGGTTTCGTGGTGAGTGTGCTAGAATGATCAGCTCCAAAGTACGGTTTACAGCCTCTAACATTCTCTGTGGAAAAAATTGCATACTGAAATCCGTTAGGATGAGTACAGTCCAGGAAGATAGACACGACTGTGACGAAGCATCACGCAAACGCAGAATAAATCATGCCCGGTGCCCGAGTTTACTGGCTGACCTAAACCGTNTGTATCGGCCGGTATATATAATAAACGTACTGTAGCGTATTTTCTTGTCTATCATTTGAGAGTTAAAGCCATCTGAAGCAACCTGATTCTTGACAATTTATTGAAAACAAATAGGCAACTAGCACATTTTTACCGAAAGAATTGGACGTCAGTTGCTTCCAAAATAGAACATCACAAGCAACTCAAAATGAGTAAGTCGGATGGCCGTCACTACAACCTTAGGTACCAATATTCACACCCTTTCCAGACGAATCTGACTAGAGCTTGAATTCTCTAACGAAAGATGTAAGGTACTTCATACCTCTCACATGACGCCCCCTTTTACTGCTAAATTCTCCACTGTCGGAATAGACTTCATCTAATCTTATTAAGTTTTACCGGTGTTCTCGATTTCCTGCCCAATGCGGCAAACCTAGTTTCACGTTGGTGCGGTTCAATGTTGCCTACAAATACATGTCCGCGGTTATTGCGGATGGTCTCACTCAACAGCCAGCCACTACTAACACCCATCCTCTGCCGACCCGATTGGGTAAAGTATCGCTGCGGGAGAGCGACCGTACGAACCAACGGACTGACCAATCTGCTAGACCACTGATACTAATTTTTTAAACATAGCATGACTGCACATGCAACTCAATGAGTACGTAAGACTCTTCAGCTTGAGTATGTATTTCACAGGCCGCGTGGCTCTGACGTAAGCATTCAGCTGTGTCCGAAATGCCATGTTAGATTAGAGTGCAGCTGGAGTTGTCGATTGTGTGCTTATTCCCTGAGCTGCATACAACCACACATACGGACGTGTCGATCAAATGCTCCTGTATCATTTGCAATCCAATGGGCTCGGTGGGTAGGGCTGGTCCATTTACCTAAATCGTATGATCCCCGTTTGTATTTGTTATCCTCATGGTCCGCGGTCGTCACGTGCTTTGAATGTCTTGGTCTAGCAGCACGCCCAGCGTGAGCAAGCTGATCTAGCCCAACTCCACGGATGGTTTACGCGACCAATTTTCTCAACTTTTTAAGACAGTGCATTCACTACACTACGTACGTCCCAACGAAACAGCCTTACGGACAAGACCCGGCCAATGTGTGCCATGGGATGTGCGTACACATGCGCGCGTGCGAGCCATACACCAACCGTGTATCCGGGTTCAGAAAAAAATATGGGAGCTTCGTGCACCGTGCACCGCGCACCGTGCTCGTCCTATGCCTTGGTGAAAACCTGCGCCGAATACAAGTAGGGGTGACGGTAAATCCAGGGTCTGTAACCGCGTTGACTCAGTAGCAAACCTCATTTGTACCAGGCTGCGTCCAGAACCAGATTACGGTCTTGGCAATACCGCTTGCTGTGTAGCTATGGTGATGCCAGGATTTAGTGATGAGCTGCATTTCCAAACCCATTATGGTTTACTGAGCTCTCATCACCAGAAAAAATGCGTTGACCGTGCAACTGACACTGAATATCAGCCAGAAGGCAAACGGTGAAATGCACGCTTTAGTGCTACCAACGCAATCGGGTGGTAGTCAATACCCCCCTTCTCGCAATCTTACCACTCTAGCTTGTCAATGACCGTTGTGAGTAGAAAAAAGTACGGACAAATTGGAATAAGCCAACTGTAGCTTGCATCCGTACCAATCAAGTTGTGCGAGTTTTTGCATTCAGTCTGTTCCGGTGAAATGTAGGATGTGAGGAGCAACTAAAAATATCGGTTATACACTTATCTGACCTAGTAATGTAGTAACAAACCCTGATTACGTTGGTGACTGTTTTGGACTTGGTCATGCTAAGATATACTGTGGAAGTTTACTAAAAATAACACAGCGAGTGTCATAGGGACTCACTCAGCAAGTGTCACAGTGATCCGTTGACCATCTGAATGGATAACACATCGTTCACCATAGTCTCTGGACGGTAAATTTTACAGCAATCGGGAATAGACTTTTTCGTTCAAGAAGGGACTGAAATATTTACCTAACTTAGTGTTTTAAATTGGGGAAGACCCCAACTAACGTCCTGGTCTGCCCAGCAGCTTCAAACTATTTTTCACTGTCGGGCGTTCCGTCTGGATATTCTTCGTCACGATATCCTACTCCTGACAGTATTTATATATTTCTTTCGTACCAGCGATCTGGAATTCGCCTAACTTCTGCATAGTCCTTTCCATCTTTCTTCCTCTAAAGGCGTGCCTTTTTCTTCCAGGCATTCCTCATCTTTGAGGTTGAAGAAAACTCGGGGCTATGCCTACCTGATGAGACCTAAGGAAGGCGAAACCAGTCATGAGCTGTCAGACTTTTCAGCGACCTCATGAATGGTGTTCCTTCAATAAGATGGAAGTGAATCAAGGGCGATGTGAAGTTAAGGTAAAACCAGACTAATGGCAGTAAAAAAACCCTCGATCTCTTTAATGGGGTTTTCAAATTCTGGCAGTGGACACTCTTTGGCTTTCTACTGAGGATCACATCAGACATTCCTCTTAGATACTACTCAGCTTCCGATTACAAATATCCTCCCCTGAATAAAACATCCTCGGAAGGGTACACTCAAATTGGGCTAATGATAGCATCCTTTTTAGAAAAGACCATCTTATAAAAGATACCGTTTTTGGCAGCCTCTTTATTGTGATTTTTCCAAAAGGAGACAGCCCCCGTCAGCATTCATTCAGTTCTTTATGGGAATATGTGAGAAAGCCGATTTGAGTATTTTTTCGCTCAAGAAGTCCCCACTGAAGTTCATAGTCGCCAAGACACATGCTCTTTCTGCTTGCAGTATTTCTGTCAAAACATTCATAAGAGTTCCCAGCATCTGCTGAACCGATGTATGTAGCAACGCCATTTTTTTACCGTTGAATGTCTGTTCAGTTGTAAATTCCATTTCTATAGTTAAATAAAATAAGACGTTTTTAGTCAACCACTTTTTATTTACATCCTCCTTTTCAGTTTTTTGTCTCCAGTCCTGATGTTGCGTCTAGAACTGTACAGGCGGGAATATCTCCAGCCAATCTGAAAAATGCCTTACATCGTTGCCGCCAGCTGGGTGCTCTAGCCTTGGTGCGAAACGCCAGTGTTCCCGTCAACCAGACCTCGAAATGTGAACAGGAATTTCCTTTGGATGCAGTAGGCAGAGAAGTTAGTTGTTCTGAGTTCCACAAGGTTATGCTAACTGGAGGGTCATCATCGAATCTGCTTATACTTAGTGCATTCCTGCTTGTTCCGCTTTCTTGCATTCTTTGCTCAACCTAGTCTGATAAACTCTTGTTTGATCTTGAAGAAAACGCGTCTGCAAGGATTACGGTGATGGTTTTAAAAATGGACTCTAAAACTATAGAGGTTAGCTGGTGGATCCAAAAGACCAAAACAAAGGATAATTTTGTACCAAATCGACAAACTTTCCGGGGAGCAGCAAACAGAGAAGTCACTCTTTTGTGCATGAACGCAGTGGATATATAAGGTGAAAATTTCGAGTAATACTTTCAACAATGTCCAGTTGGTAATTTCAACCAATCCGAACTTTCTTCTTACAGTTTTCAATACAAGTCTTTTGATGGTGATGTTTTGAAATATTCTAATACGGTATGAATTCATTGAAGTCGACCAAGTTAATTTAGAGAGACCCACTTGGGCTAGTTGTTTATCCTTGAATTAATACGCCAGCCGCATCGTGATGCTTGGCTTTTGAGGANTTGTACCAGGCTGCGTCCAGAACCAGATTACGGTCTTGGCAATACCGCTTGCTGTGTAGCTATGGTGATGCCAGGATTTAGTGATGAGCTGCATTTCCAAACCCATTATGGTTTACTGAGCTCTCATCACCAGAAAAAATGCGTTGACCGTGCAACTGACACTGAATATCAGCCAGAAGGCAAACGGTGAAATGCACGCTTTAGTGCTACCAACGCAATCGGGTGGTAGTCAATACCCCCCTTCTCGCAATCTTACCACTCTAGCTTGTCAATGACCGTTGTGAGTAGAAAAAAGTACGGACAAATTGGAATAAGCCAACTGTAGCTTGCATCCGTACCAATCAAGTTGTGCGAGTTTTTGCATTCAGTCTGTTCCGGTGAAATGTAGGATGTGAGGAGCAACTAAAAATATCGGTTATACACTTATCTGACCTAGTAATGTAGTAACAAACCCTGATTACGTTGGTGACTGTTTTGGACTCGGTCATGCTAAGATATACTGTGGAAGTTTACTAAAAATAACACAGCGAGTGTCATAGGGACTCACTCAGCAAGTGTCACAGTGATCCGTTGACCATCTGAATGGATAACACATCGTTCACCATAGTCTCTGGACGGTAAATTTTACAGCAATCGGGAATAGACTTTTTCGTTCAAGAAGGGACTGAAATATTTACCTAACTTAGTGTTTTAAATTGGGGAAGACCCCAACTAACGTCCTGGTCTGCCCAGCAGCTTCAAACTATTTTTCACTGTCGGGCGTTCCGTCTGGATATTCTTCGTCACGATATCCTACTCCTGACAGTATTTATATATTTCTTTCGTACCAGCGATCTGGAATTCGCCTAACTTCTGCATAGTCCTTTCCATCTTTCTTCCTCTAAAGGCGTGCCTTTTTCTTCCAGGCATTCCTCATCTTTGAGGTTGATGAAAACTCGGGGCTATGCCTACCTGATGAGACCTAAGGAAGGCGAAACCAGTCATGAGCTGTCAGACTTTTCAGCGACCTCATGAAT